CAGGCTAACCTACTGGTCAGAGTGTTTGCCCCTGGTGGTCAGTGCACATCATAGCGAGTGGTTGAGTGGCCTTAGTATATCATTAGCATGTTATGCTTTGATTGGTTGAATGGCCAACCCGACAACTGGACACTTAGCATATTAGGCTTTTATTTATTTTTTCCGTGTAAATGTGATCAGTTCTTTTTTTTTATTGTCTAAAGTTTTACACATGTCTCCTTTTTCCCCGATTGACGCCCCCCCCGCCCCAGCCATTCCCACCCCGGGCAAGCCCCCACTGCCCCAGTGTCTGTGTCCATTGGATATGCTAATATATATGCATATAAGCCCTTTGGTTGCACTCTAACCCTCCCTACCTCCCCTGCCATTTGTCTCTGGATCTATTTTTGTTCATCAAATTATGTTGGTCATTATATCCCACATATGAGTGAGGTCATGTGATATTTATCTTTCTCCGACTGGCTAATTTCGCTTAGCATAATGCTCTCCAGTTCCATCCATGCTGTTGCAAATGGTAAAAGTTCCTTCTTTTTTGTAGCAGTATAGCATTCCATTGTGCAGATATATAGGCTTTTACTATATAGGATTGCTGGATTGTATGACCACTCTGTTTAATCATTAGAGGAACTGCCAGAATTCTAAAGTGGCTGCCATTTTTCATTTCCACCAGCAGTGTAGATGAGAAAATCTGTTGAGATGTATGGTAGATGTTTGTAGGCTGTGCTCTTAACGTCTGTTTCCATCCATCATTTTTCTGTCTTTCATTCCGCGTGTACTTTCATCATCTCGCTTTCATTTGACTAATTCTTTTCAGCTGTGTCTAGGTCTGCTGTTTATCCAACCCATTGAGTTTTAAAATTTTCATTGACTATGTGTTTTATTTTTAGAAATTCTGTTTTCAAATTTTTCTTTATAATAGTAACTTGATTTTTCTTAAGGTTTGGTGATTTGTATTTACAGTGCCTTCCGATGCTTCTTCCACTTTCTGTCCTGTTAGTTTTATACCTTATGAAACTAATCACATTTATGTTCTATTTTGGATATTTATATAAATTCAACTTCTTGTGTTTTTTTAAAATATGTTTTTATTGATTTTCAGAGAAGGGAGAGGGAGACAGAAACATCAATGATGAGAAAGAATCATTGATCAGCTGCCTTCTTCATGCCCCCCACTGGGGATGGAGCCAGCAACCTTGGAATTGAACTGTGACCTGATTCATAGGTTGATGCTCAACCACTGAGCCACGCAGGCGACTCAACTTCCTGGTTTTTTGATCCTGCTGTTTGTTGTGTTCTCACTAATGGTGGACTGTTTCCTTGTGGGTTTAACATTTTAATTGTGAGCTTATATTGAACCAGTTTTGTGGTCTGGATTGTGGGGTAGTTCCTCCTGTTTCTGAGTTCCCTTCAGCCAGAAACCTCAAGTGCTAGCATTGGCCCAATTCCAGTTCTTATGTCAATTTATCAGCCCTGTGGGATGTAAATTTGAATCCCAAACTCCATGAGGCAATAGCTGTGGTTTTAGATTTTCAAGAAAGATACTGCCCCATCTACTACCATCACCCAGAGCCCAGCTATGGAGTTATGCCACTCAGATCTCTATTCCAGAACTTATCATTCAGCTGCAAGGAGTGATTCAGCTGACTGTTCCAGTTATTATTTCCTTCAGGAAATGCTTTGGCTTTTTAAAAAAATATTTTCGTTAATTTTTTAGAGAGAAGGAGGTGAGAGAGAGAAACATCATCGATGTGAGAAACATTGATTGGCTGCTGAGCCATCCCAACCAGAGAAATGCCTTGGCTTTTGAGGTAAGGCCACAGTTTTCTTGGGCAGCCCCAGCGCGCAGTGGGTATGTTCATAGGGCCTGGTCATTTCTGTCCAGCACAAGACTCCTCTACCAGGCAATGTTTGCTCTAGAACCCTGTGTTTGGTTGGTTAAAACTTTGTCAGAGCTGCTCACGTTCTGTTTCTGCTGCCTGAACCTGCTTCCTCTCCTCTCCTTTCACAGATGTTGGATCTATATCCTGTTCTGAGACTTTTCATGCAAAACCCCTCTTCCCCCTTTTACCTTTCATAGTCATTATCCTATATAATAAACCCTAATATGCAAATCAACCGAATGGCGGAATGACCAATCACTATAATGCACACTGACCACCAGGGGCAGATGCTCAATGCAGGAGCTGCCCCCGTCAGGGCCGATGAGGGGGCGGTGCCAGGCCGCCACCAAGGCGGGTGTCACCGGTCGACCCACATATTGGCCCTGATCACCGGCCCAACCTAGGGACCCTACCCGTACACAAATTTTGTGCACTGGGTTTCTAGTTCCCCAATAAACCTCTTGTACTTTTGTCTCAACATCTACTTCCTGAGGATACATCTTTTGGTATTGGGATGCATTTTTACTAAACTATGTATTTTCTGAAGACAAAGCCTTCAAGGGACTTTATTTGGAGGTGTCAGTTCCAACTCCTTACCCCACAGCAGGTAGGTACAGCAGCTCCTTGAATGCTTACAGTGGGTGTTTTGTCATTTCTGGCACACTTGGATTTTCATGTATTACTTTCTATTTTATCTTTATATTTAATATTATGTTATATCCCATTTGGAACTTCTAGATGTTTATATCAGGAGTGTGTTCAGGATATACAATCCATGATATGTACATTTTTTTTTTTTTACTTTTTTTGTAGAAAAGCAAGAATTTATTAACCACAACAAAAACATACTAGGGCAGTGAAACACGGAAGGGCATAGAAGACATAACAGGAGAGCCTGCATTGGGCTGCCTTAGCTCATTGGGAAGTCAGAGAAAAGGGGGAAGAGGGAGACTTGGAGACAGGTTCAGAGGATTAGCCTGGGATGAGCTGCTGCTGCCCATTGCTCCCCTGGCTGCAAGTCTCATAAGGTCCCTTAGAGCAGTGGGCGCCAACCGGTGGTCTGTGAGGTCTGAAAGGTTGGTGACCGCTGCCGTAGAGGTTAGGGGACACGTGCCAAGGGGAGGGGAATGGCATGGGTGTGCTCCCACCAGGAGCACACATTTTTTATTTTTTAAAGACAGAAATTGCATATATTTATTGTCTAAATTATGCTTTTAATATTTTTAAGGAATCATGTATACATTGTACAATACTCAGGGTTTTAAAGGAGTTTGACAATTATACCAAATCAGGAACTTCTTTCTATAGCTGTCAGGGAATAAAGCCTTCCTGTGTCTGTGAGTCTGTTGTCTCATTTTATACATATATCTTTATACACATTTCCAGGAAGATGTTATATACAAAGTCAGGGAGAGTCTAACAAGCTAACAGGAGTCTGAGCAAGGGTTCTAGAGAAACATGGGAGGCATCAGTTCTACCTGCAGAGACTGGGCACAGCTGGGGGACACTAAGCCAAGACCTGAGGGTAAGAAATATACCAGATGGCTGGGGGTGAGGGGAAGGGCAACACTATATGCAGCAGGAACAACACTAAACAGTGTAGACACATGGAACAACATGGCGCTCAGGGAAGGGCAGGCAATTCAGTTCACCTAGAGGGTGAGATGAAAGAGTTGTCCTGCCTGTGCTAAAATGCAAGCGCCTCTGCAAATTGAAAGGGGTAAGGAGACAGATTCTCCTCCTCTCAGAGGAAGCAGCCCAGCTGACATCTTGATTTTAACTCCATGAGATTCATTTTGGCCTCTGACCTCCAGAGCTGTCAGGTAAATCTGTGTTGGCTTTAGCCACAAAGTCTGTGTTAATTTGTCACAGTAGCAACATAAGATTAACACAGGAAGGGATCACTGTGCTATGGCCTAAACAGAATGCTTCAGAGCAATGGGTTCGGAGCGAGAGTTGCCAGGAGTCTGAAAACAGTGTTGGGTCTCCGCCACCGGTGGTCTCCCTAACTACTGATTGGGAACCCCCTTTTGGATGTCTGAAACTCAACTCCGCACCCTCCCTCATCTAAACCCTCTCCTCCCATATCGTCTTGAAGAGTGCAGCCGAGCCAGATGCTTCCAAGTCGTCCATCTAGTGAACCACTAAATGGCTGGGGGTTCTGCATGAAAAGTTTCCTGCATGCAGAGAACATGGGCAAGAGGGAGAGAAGGCATGAGAACTTGGAAGGGGGCTGGTGGTAGAGATGAAACAACTGTTACCTCTGGTTGGTGGGAATACGCATGTCAGCCTGGGTCTAATGCCATGGGGCAGACTTGACTCTGAGACACAACTACAGGCATTGCCCATCCTTTCCTCGCCTTGGCTGAGCCAGAAGATGCAAAAACATCCGGCATCAGCTTTGCTTTGATGTTCTGCACTTTTTCTCCTGACCTTCCTGTCCTCATGTGCGTGATATCAAATTACCTAAGACTAAATTACATTAACCCCTCCAAACGTCTCCAGAATCTTCCATTCATAGCTCTTAGGCACTGTCACTTCCCTGGGTCCAAGGTGACCAAGTGCCTGGGGAGCTGACCACACAGCCTTGGGGGGCCATGTTTAGAGGCATCAGTACCAGAGACGCAGATCTAAGAATGAAACCCACCAAACCACCTCAGTGCTGGTTAGGTTTTATTTTAACAGGGCATTTCCTCTTCATGTGTTTTTCAAAATATCAGTTATATCAATTAGAGGTGTAAACAGGTACAAAATATACAGTACAGAGAAACAATTTTCGTAACTAGTCTATTGCCTAACAAAAGTACACATGGGGGAGCCAAGTGAATAGCAGCCTTGGTCTCTCCTCTGTGGGGGGATAAGGGATCCAGAGGCGGCTTCAAAAAAACAGGAATGATTACTTGGGGACAGCACTGTGGTAGAATGAAGAAACCTGGGCCGATGTCCAATTCCACCGTTAGGATGTCAGCAGAGGAGCATCATCCATACCCAGCCTCTCAGACCTTGCTGGGTGTGCAC